GCACAGGGGTGAACGCTCCGTCATTGCGCTGGCCGCCCGCCGCACGCGCCGGTTCAAGGTCGGCTGTGCGTGCGATGTTGTGCGGGAGGGCGGGGGAGGGGGGGGGGGGGCGGATCCGGCCCCGAGCAACCGATCTCGACGCCGGCGGCGGCAGAGGCGGCAGCGGCGGGAGCGTTGCCGTACAGCGCTGGGGGGGCGGGGGTCGCGGAAGCCCCGAGGCAGCGGCTCAAGGGCGATTTCCCCCCACCTCACCCAACTCGCTCGCTCGAGCGCCGCCTTGCCGTGCGCGCTTTTCTAAGGCTGTTAGCGCCGCCACCTGTTCTGGACCGCGAGCGCGCGGGCCGCGGCGGGGCTGACCGGGTTGGGATGACACGCCTAGGCCAAGCCGCAATGAGCGCACTACTCACTGTCACTAGCCGCACGGCCCGCCGGGCCGGCCTGCGGTACCGAGTTGGAGCGCTGGGCGCCGCCCTGTCCCCGCCGCCTCTCTCCCATGCCACTTCCAGGAGGCGCACTCCAGCTGCCTGCCCCGTGCAGACGCTCGCGGTGTCATGACCTCTGGCAAAATTGGCCGGCATAACTCCCGTTCCTCTCTCGACATGTTGTACCTCTTAAAAGATAATCGTGCGTTGCATTTCTAGTCCGAAGGAAGGGAAGTGTATTTATTGAAGAAAATGTACTTAGGATGATAATATCGTATGTATGTCTTGTTCATGTTTGTAATGTTGATGGTATTTGCTCTTTCATCACTTAGCAGCGAAGTTAAATTCCGAATTTTAATTTAGCAGCTTTTGTAATTCTTAAACCGATAATAAAATTTTATTAAATGGAGTTCATACCTGTAGGTTATATTTCTCATGATTTCGTGGGTGCGTAAACGATAAACTATATCATAAGGTAATAAAAAGACGTGTGGCACATATATCTTTCTGTACGTGTCTTGGCATTAGGTTAAGCCTAACGCAAAGATTTTCCGCAATTTATTTCAACAATCTAAACAATGAACACTCTGAATATCAGTTGATTAAGATAGTATATTTTCCGCAGTTGAAAGCCATGCCGCCTATGAGTAAACCAATGCATATGGTTTGGGGAACGTCAAGATAATTCTATAAAACACTATAAATCTGCGGTTGCTTCATTGCCAAAGCAAGATGGATTCTGGAATGGAAAGTATGCTATGAATGATTCATCTTTCTTTTTGATCTAAACTCCTGCTTTCTTCTTTCCGGGAATTACTCCATTCTAAATTTATTTGTCAGAAAGTTGTGATGTTTTAAAAATTTATATGAACGAAAACGATTCTTATGTAGACGAAAAGCTTTTATTGGGCAAGAATTGGAAATATGTGTTCTATTTTATAAATACAGCAAATAATTGATCTCATTGGAATTTGTGTATCAATACAAACGTTTTAATGTCACGAAAACATTCAACAATATGTTCATTTTATATCATTTAAATAAACATTACGCTGATATATTTTTGTTTAGAATGTTGCTCATTGTTCCGTTTATGTCTCTAGCATAATTGGTACACCAAATCTGTTAGTAGTTTCACTTTTGTACTACTTTTCTACGCTTCTCTCTGCTCCAGATCTTGTGTGTTGCATTCAGTAATAGGTCTAAGTCAGGATATGGAATTCTGGAACATTAGTTGTTGTGGCTTCTTTATATTCACTAATGACTTTTCACACAATTCTTTTTTTCTAATTGGAGTCGAATTTGTGTCTTGAGTGATTTAATGAAGTTTCGTACATGAAGGAATAAGTGGAAATGGATACAGAGGATTGGGATATATTTTAGAACCATTAATATTAAGCTGCTAAAATTACGACTAGAATTGAATTCGGGTGTTATAAATATCGGGTCGATGATTTATTTAGCGTGTGTGTAGAAGCCAAAACAATCAAGCATGCATAATTCTCATGTCACAAAAAACGCATCCTGTTCTGCGTCATTTGATTGCAAGGAATCGTACTCACATGTTGCATCGGTATCCATCTTCTCCTCTTTTATTATTATTTTATTATTATTTTATTATTTTTGTTTATTATTAATTATTGATTATTATTAGCGTATTTTCCGCAATAATGGAAAAATTAAGAAAAACTTGACTCGTTTTGTGGAGCTCTACTTAGTTTTTGGTGGAGTTCTACTTAGTTTTTGTGGAGTTCTACTTATATTTTGTGAGTTCTACTTAGTTTTGTGGATTTATTAGTTTTTTGTGGAGTTCTACTAGTTTTTGTGGAGTTCTACTTAGTTTTTGTTGGAGTTCTACTGTTTGAGTTCTATTGTTTTGGGAGTTCTACTTAGTTTTGTGGAGTTCTACTTAGTTTTTGTTGGAGTTCTACTTAGTTTTTGTGGAGTTCTACATTAGTTTTTTGTGGAGTTCTAATTAGTTTTTGGTGAGTTCTAATTAGTTTTTGTGGTTCTATAGTTTGTGAGTCTAATTATTTGAGTTCTATGTTTTGTGGGTTCTAAAGTTATGTTTTGTGGTTCTAATTAGTTTTGTGGAGTTCTACATTAGTTTTTGCGGAGTTCTTAATTAGTTTTTGTGGAGTTTTCTTATTCCCAAATTCTCTTTCATTCTGTGGAAATGCCAGTTTCTTTCTTCGGACCATAGGGATTGACTTCGGTCTGGTAGGTTGTGATTTTGGTTGTTTTCTGGTTTTACTTCCAATTTGTTCCTTTGTTGCGGAAGGTGTTTTTTGTCTGAGGTGTCAGTTTATGTCGGCGTGTCGCATTGTCTTTTTTTTGTTTCTTCAATCCATGGTGTTGTAATTTTTAAGTGAGGAATTATAGTTTAATTTATTTTAGTTAGTCGAGGTCTATGTGTCCGGAGAATCTTCAGTTCTTTCCTGATGTGACTTCTATGTGAGTTACTTTCAGTTTGTCTTCAATAGATTGTATCTGTATCCATCGGAGTGAGTCTCGCACCGAGCATTTTTCTAATAGATTTTTTTTCTTCTTTTTGGATTTCTTCCAGTTCATATTTCTTGATGAGGTGTTTTGCTGCGTAAAGAGGCTGCCGTTTGATTGACAGTATGGTAATGTCGAATTTTGTTTTCTTAGCATGCATTTTTTTGTCTCTCTTTTTTTCTGCGTTCCTCGCTCAATTGCGTCCGTCTTCATTTACAGGAATGCGGCTGCTTTGTTTGTGTTGCCGCTTCACAGCCTGTTAAATTGTCTACGCAGCTCTTTGCTAGCCGAACCGAACTGCTTGGCCGCACGCCATGCATCTTTAACGAACAAAATGGATCGGATCTGGCAGAGTCTAATCCTTGATTTCTCCACAATGCATTCAATGAAGATAACTATGGAAATTGCTTTCGTATCCGCATTGAAAAATTTAGCATTCAAAAATCTATCAGTGTCGGCTAATACTTTAATTAAAAAAGATAACATGAATGCGTACGTTAAAGACACCTCACATTTGTGCTTTTGCAACACTGATTTTCATTATTTTATTTGCATTTGAGTAAATCTTCTTGTAAGGAGGTTGACATTATTTCCAAATTAAAGAAAGAACTTTTTATCACGTTTCAAAGAAGAAGTAACGAGGTAAAAAATAACAGCAATGTAGACATTAGTATCAACTTCATAAAGAATTACATTCGATTTCTGAACAAAAATATAGATAATAAATCAACGAGAAACGCTGTTCGAAGTTTCTTATAATTACAAGACATTTTTAAACGATCTTCATCATATGTAATACCACAAGTGCTTCGGAAATTATCGAAAAACTTCCGACTCGCGAAGCGAGGAGGGGATTTACCTGAGAATTTCCAAAGCAAGAGTGGTATTTAATAGGACTAGTCCACGAGTGAAATTATGCCCCAAAAATTTCTAAAATATTGAAAATAACTGAAGGCTATGTTAAAATCAAATAGGTTATGCTATAGTTCATACGCTGTTTATTTGACATGGACATAGCGACCGATGTATACAGCCTCGTCAGATAGATCAGTCACACTTTATGATTGGCCAGTAGGGATATGGTAAGAAAAATCGGATAGAAAATGTGATAAACTTTTTGAGATACACCGCCACTGTTTGGGTCCTTTTGTAAGTATAGTTAAGCACTATTTTGCTTTAACTTCACGAGCGGAATCGTCTCAATAACATTTCTGTCCAACAAGATATTGTATTTGAAAGCATTCACGTGCTGTTTCCCGCAGGCCGCCAGCGAAATCGGCCTCCGGTGGGCGTGCACAGGAGGAGAAAGCCCTCGCTCAACGCAAGTGTCGCCGGCGGAGTTTCGTCCCGCAGCTTGTGCGCGCACGCAGATGGGAGAAACGGATCTTGTCCGTTTTCCTCACCTTCCCTCGCCATCCTCTTAGACCGTTATTTCACGAACCAATGGCACATGTACATAAAAATGACTTGCACAGATCATTTTGTGAGACTTAAAATAAAATTTCTCAGAGATCTGGCGGACCCCAACTAACTAACTACCCCAATTCGAAAAGTATGGGATCGAGCGTGACTATCGACATTGGCGTTTGACAGTAAGTTTACAAGAATATTTCCTTCAAACCTCATATTTCCGCTCTGTTTAATCCCTTGAATTTCTCGTTTTGATCGTTGAAACCAAGCAGTTTCCTCTTTTTCCAATAAAGGCAGCCACGTATGACTCAGCACAATGAGAGTATCAAAACATAATGTATCCAAAGATTACCAATGCATACTGAAGTTTTTATTGAAGCTCCTGAAGATATTACGTTAGAGTTTGACGGATAGGGAAGACATAATTAACTCAGCATTTCAGCTCCTATTATGATTCAACAAATGAAAACACTGCAATATATAGCAGATATACACGAATAGAAAATATATACTAGGATTGTCACTCAGCGCGGGTATGTTTCTCATAATTTCAGTAGGGAACATTCGTGTCACAAAGAAGGGTGAAATGATAACGAACCGAATGTAAAATAAACATATTCAAATATTGCCATTTACTTATTCCTCTTTAAAAACATCATAAAATTATCCTTATTTACCAAGAAGACTATTGCATAACAACACAAAAACAAATTCTCTACTTTTCTTCAAAAAAGTATCAAGTTTGCTAAAAGAGAGCACAATAAGAAACCAACCTGGTCTTGTAATATTTTAGAATTATCCCATCAAAATTATACCCTTAATTCGTACTCGTAAGTTCACAAATTGTTATTTTCAGTGTCTGGTCGACAACGTTTTCGGAAGTACTAATGAGTTTAAATACTAGCCTTCTCATATAATTCGGCGATAAATAGAACAAAAAGGTAGAAACTAAATTTCAAATAAGATCAGTGTTCAAATACGATGTATTCTATCACATTTTACTCGAGGGAGTTGAAGTTTTGGTATGAACGGTGCGAATCGTGAGGAAGGACTCAGAGGAGGACCGCAACTAGCGCAGGTGTTTAGTGTGCCGGCGATTATTACTCTGGGCGTACGCAGCCCAATTATAGGTCGGCGTGCAGGCCTTGGGCTCACTGTAGCGGCTAACGTCACGAGCCCTCTTTCGGCCACGGCCTTGGAACGCGGTCCCGCTTCGTCGCTTCCGCCGCCTTCTTGGGATTGGATGGGAGTCGGAAGAATCCTCCGCACGAAATGCCTTCCGACTGCATAGCATCCTCGTACGTGTGAATGATGTAGCCCACACTGAATTTAAATTTCTGGGCTTGTTCCAAAGCAACTGCTAGGACTCTTGTCGCTAACGATGTGCGTGGGAGACATGTCAGAAGAATCGTTCGTCGGAAGTAACTAGAGTTTTGATTATCAAAGTGATTGGGAAGCATGCACACACAAATCAAGTCTTTTGCTTTTTATTTTCACTTCCGCGGGCACTGAGGTATAGGATCTCCCTTCGCAAGAGTATTTCAAAACAGAAAACAAATTTTTATTTGAGAATCAGCGGCAATTCGTGAAGTTCTCTCTTTTATGTTGGGGAAAATATCAATACAAAGTAGTGTCGATACTGAATGAGAAGTTATGAAGTACTTTGGTCTTCGTTTTTGGTGCCAAATAATTAGATTTGTTTGTAATATTTAGATATTTTATTTTATTTTTAGATAAGATATTTTATTTTTAGACGTTGCGCCTCGTGTACCCTCCCTTAGTAATATATCGGATTTCGTGGTATCTTAATATTGCTTCTTGTAATGTCATTGTGTAAATACCTAGGGAAACTATTATGAAACGCAAAACAAATAGTCTTTTCATATCTCTAACAAGGTACTATACTTACAGTCACGAGATATTAACGTAATAATACTTTGTGAGATGTAATCTTAAATAGAAACAAACTTTCGCTACGAGATAATACTGTTTATAATAATTTACAAAATAGAAACACAAATAGGGAACATAGATGACACATACTTTGTCATTTTCGAATTTGAATAGAGAAACGTGACAACTTTTCATTGAAGATGGCCCACAACAAAGGAACTTCACTCGCAGAAACAGCGCTGTTGTTGTGTGTCATCAGCCTGACAGTGTTGCATAAACACTATCGTACGCAATTTGTTGGTCTTGTGCTGTGACGAATGTCTGTACCGAAGACTTGTCAATAAGCAAATTACTGAGATTAAGCAAACGAATGTCCAAAACCATAGACCACGCCACCAAACAATTAACATTGTCACGGACAAATTGCTATTTTCCATACAAACGAAGCTAATATTCTACGTTGAAAAAGTTTTATAAGAACTTCATTGATACCAAAATAGAACAACTTTACAACAAATTTACTACAAAAAGGTCGTCAATTTGACAATACAACAGCGACTATATATTTTCTTAAATATCTTATATCCTCGCTTGAGCAAACATATTACCAAATGAAAATAATATTTCCGAAGAAAAAGTTAATTAGCTGATAGAACAGTACTTTCACAAAACTTTTTATTCTAATTCCAAAATTAATTTCCTTCTTTCCTTATTGCTCTGAAAAATGGGTGAAAATCTGTGAAAAGTAATTACACTTCTGCGTTTGAACTATAACACCTGCACTTTATTGTTCGTAATGTTAAAAAGCATACTTCTGATTAAAAATTATTAATTACTTTTTGAAGGGTATGAAAGAAGGAAATTCTCAAGACCATGATGAGTGTTGGAATAAAAAAACTAATAGATGAATAGGTGGATAGTCAATATTTCCATTGAAGTTTACGATATGTGTAATTGTTTTCATCAACTGTTATTGCTAGTTTGTATCTGATTTTCATGATCTCTTTTGTCCATTACAAAAAATAAAGTAATTTTTATGTCACATCGGACATAACGTTTCTTAAACAAATTAGGCAAATAATATCAAGGACGATTTACCTATTTTAGAAGATGTCCTCGTCCGCACAGAACCTAAGCTTTCTCATAAATCGGTTACAAGCAACAACTCTAAATTATAAACGATATAGAAAACAATGTTATAATGGAACGGCGTAGAAATGTAGTCGAAACTTGCACTTCACCAATTCTTAAAAACATGGTCACGAAAAGAACACGGTCCACAAATCGACCAAGTAATCTACGAAGAAACGGTTGCATTATACAATGCACATTGGTTACTTAATAATATGCTATTGTTTTCAGCGTTTCACAGATGTAGGAAGACAGTCCAGTCCCATAATCTCTTCCGTGAAAAATAACAATTCCTGCGGAAAAGTTTGTGAGTTGTCAGAGGACGAGGAAGTGAAAATTACAAAACGCGTAAAGCAGGTGACAACGCAAAATGCTTGACGAATCAGGAAAATAAACTTTGGCATGCCTGTGCCTTGAGCGCTTAATTTATTTGGACGCAGATTATCCGTGGACGGCAATTCCAGGAGGACGTAACAACGACGTTAATTCCATGGGTCGCCGCTAGAAGAGAAACACAGCGCAGGAGGGGGGCGGGGCGTAGCGCGCGCCGGGCGTGCCTTGTCACGCGCGATGTGGAGCCCCGAAGCACCTGCGCCTCCGACACGCGCGTATTGCACGCGACCTACGCACGCACGCACACAAACACGCGTGCAGTCGCAAGGAGCTCAAGGACGAGCGCTGCGCCGCGCTCGCCGATGGGGCGCGCAGGCGGACTGTCGCTGCCGATGAGAGACACGGTTTGCTGTCGGTCTCAAAGAATACTATTTTTTTTTATTTAAGGTCGCATCAACATCTAGGTCATTAGTGACCTCTATTGCATTTAACGGTATGGTGACTGTGAAGATGGCATGATATGGTGATGATAGGGGGTGAAAAGATGAACACAAATACAATCATTTTTGACGCGGGACTCGAACCTGTGATCCTTCGGTCTGATATCGCTACGGCACTACTGCCTTAACGATCTGGCCATCCGGATCGGCCTCAAAGAATACTGTATGAAATGACAGTGTGAGTTTTGACGTCAAGGTGGCAGAAGATACAGAAAGTTGCGAGTAGAGGACGGTAGTGCTAGTCTGATATTAGGACAAATAAAGGTTGAAAGAGGTAGATGGCTTTAGTGACGAAGAGTGAAGGATAAAAGGCTGGAAGTGGAAGATGGTAAGTGGCGATGGGGAAAGAGTAGAAAGGCGGAGAGCGAGGGTCAATATGAGCAAGTAGTGAGTGGATGGCGGAGAGTGAAAAGTAAAGAATGGAGGGTGGATAGTGGAGAGTGCGTAATAAATATAAATGACGGAGAAAGAGAGAGAGATAAAGAGAGAGAAAGAGAGAGAGAAAGATAGAGAAAGAGAGAGAAAGAGAGAGAGAAAGTGAGAGAGAGATAGTGTAATGCAGTAAGTGTGTGTGTATGTGCTAGTGTGTATGTGTATAAGGGAGAGGAGATGACAAGGATGAGAAAGAGAAGATCGCGCGCGGAATATGGCCCCTTTGTTAGAGTATTTGCTCCGGTATTTGCGTATAATTGATCGCAGAAATTACCTAAAAACTATCCGTCGAGGAAGCTGGGAAACAGGATTCTTCTCCACACGGCGACTGAATTCAACCTAGCTATCAAGCAAGTGCCTAAAATACGCAAACGTCGGGAGTCGAACTCTACGTCGTCTCGGTCTGAGTTACTGCAGTAGCAACAGTTGTCTTCAGCTAACTCAGCCGGTGGAGGATGGATAGGAGAGTGGAGTGGATGTAAATGTATCGTAAATGCATCGAGTTCTTCTGGGTCACATCGCTTGCAACAAGTCCAGGACATAATTTCAATATTGAGCGGAATTCCGGCAATAAAACGGAAAAAATCTTCCGCCTACGGACAGAAAATACATTTTTGTTAATTCCGTCTAATGAGCGGAATTTGGAATGTAATTTGGGCTGTTTTGGTTTCATCACGTCCACCATGACTCGACGTTTTAGCCCCCTCTAGCATCGGCGGCTCGTGACAGAAGGAGAAGAGGATCAGGTTATTATTACCAGTGAAACTGCAAGGAGGTTTCTCGTCTCCATCTCGTGCACCCCGTAGAAACAGGTGCGGAAAGCACAAAAAGGATAAGTTTGCTCTCTGTTAAAAAAAAACAAAAAACCGTTTCTCTCCGCTTCACAAACTCTCCGTCGATAACTCACAGCCAGAACTTGCGTTATTTTTGTCGTTCCACAGCGACTAACGTTAACAGTGAAGATTCCTGCCCACGTTTTCTTCTCACCAACGTGGCCATTGGGCGGAATTCTCGTCCTTTGGCAGGGTATTTTGTCGAGGAGGATGTGGCAACCCTGGCCCAGGGAACGACAGGGTCGGCGGCGAGCGTTGCGGTGGGTTTCGACCTCGTCGTCGTCTGCACCGACTAGAGACGGGCTGCAAGGCGCCGTCTTAGAGGGCCGCGGCGGCGGTGGAGGCGGCGGCCGTCCCATCTCCCGTCCTGTCATTAGTGCGTCTCGCCGCGCCTGCCGGCGGCGTCCGCGAGACGCGCGCCACGAGCGTCAGCCCCCGCCGCAGCGCCTGGCTCTCCAACCCCACCCACCGAAGAGATGGCTCAGGGCATCAACTGATGCCACTGCAGTTCCTCTGACCGACCGTCGGTGGTAGAATTTTCGAGGCTTGTCAGATTACTCGACTTCATTCCCTGTTTCGAGAAGAATTCTAGCGGCCGCTTGCTCTAATCAGTATAGTTTCGTGTTTTTTTCGATCAACACCAGGGAATGCTGGAGTAGTACCCTAATAAACGGGTCACGGTCCGTGCTCCTCATCCCTTACACACACACACTTACACTATCATGCACTATAGTTCCACATGCCACTACATTTGCCAGGAGACCTGTCGGGAGCTTTGCAGCCTATCCCGGCTGGGGCGGTGCCCATCTGATGGGAGATAGATTGGTTAGGGAAAACCCCGCTAGCAGATCTCGCAGGGTCGCTGCCGGATCTAACCATACAGCGGGAGAAAGATCACAGCCACCTCCTAAGCCAAAGCATGCACTACACTTACGAGACTAATGACCCTGGTAGTTGAAGTGCCCTGAATCACTAAACAAACAAAGAAATCCAACCCCACCCACACGACGCGCCTGAAAACTACCGATGCTACAACATCACATACGTTCTCGCAATTTTTCTTAGTTTTGCAATTTTTGAAATATCGGAGATTTCAACGAAAATTAAATCAGCACCAACTTTTTATTCTCTATCCGAGAAAAATCGGAGTCGTTTTTGAGAAATTTTGGTAATGTAAAATACCCTTCAAAATCAAAAAATCCGTTTCAAATTCAAGGGACCACGTCATCAAGCAGATTGATCGGGAACGATAATTTCTGTTGAAAATCCTGCCAATCGTGTAGCTTCTAGTGTTTTTCACAGACTATTTACCAAAAACCAATTTTTCTGTACCAGAAAGTCATAAAACGTCAATTCTGATCACATACAATTTTAGAGATGTATTGTTTCCAGTCTTTCCGTCTAATTAAACAATCTCTCTCAAGTGTCTTCTCTCCTGGGTACCTATTTTACATGACCATGGCAACCTTCACACAGTAGGTTTTCTCGATACTACAAAAAGGAAGTAATATACTGAAGATTTTAACAAGATATTTCCAATTTTTTGGTATCACAACAAGAGTTTTTCTGTAAAAAAAACCATATTGGCAACAGCATTACAATGTTCTCTTTACTACGTAAGTAGGAAGTGAAGCGAGAAAATTAAACACCGCTTTTCACACGGCGGTGGATGTACGACGAAAGCAAGAACATTTATTATATAAACAACAACAACGAATTAACTTATTTGCGTCGTGAAATGGCTACTTTCTACATTTGTCTCGATATTTCATTATTTTCCATCACGCGATTTTTCGTGCCTGGTCATCCAATCCACAGAGTAATCATCAAAGAATACAGTAATCAGGCCAAAAACACTTTAGCACCATGGTGTTCCACAGCAGTCGAGGTATCTTGGCACGCTTTCTGGTTGGTCGTTTTCGAACTGGACCAGCGCCGCTCGCGCTTCGCTTTAATGAAGCAGGCGGAGGACGTTCCGCTTTCCAGGTTACGCTCTCTTCGTTTCCGTACTGCGATGGCTAAACAAGAAACGATCCAGAACACTGGCCACTTGCGTACTCCGAAGGGCTTATGAAATTGAAATTGCCTTTGTATCTCAATTTTCGCTCTCCAATATACTAGTACTATAGGGATTGTGTGCAATTGATCGATAAGGCTTGAATCTTTACTGCTGCATTACGAAAGTATTTCAGTTTTTACAATTAATTTTCCAAGAATAATACAATTGTGTAGAAAGAGTTACAATGATATGAATAACAAAGAGAAAAAAGATATCCAATTATTTACTATCAGAAGAAATGTCGGCATTTCCTATCGCTCTCCACCATCACCGCGAGACATTTCCTATCCGATACATTCTGATAGGATACACCTGACAGGGTATGCCCCGCGGGCGGGGTCGAAATCTTGGAGCCAAAACTCCCGACTTACATAGAAACTGAGCTCGAGTGCTCAATTTCTCGGTACCTCTCACATCGTTAACGTAAAGAGACTGCAGTGAGAAGACGGATGGTGACTCCGTGCCCTCGGGTGCAAGAGCCCACGTGGCCCGCGATTGGACGCCGATTCTCATGGGTTATTAGGGAGGGGCTTGTCCCGGAGCATGAAGGGACGCTTAGTGATTCAAGCACCCACCTCGAGAGTTGTTAGCTCTGAGCTGGCGAAGCACCCCCCCCCCAGGTTATGGGAGATATTTATATCGAGTTCCGGAGCACTCGGTTATCAGTCCAAACGCGTACTTGTGTGCCAGCGGAGGGAGCTTGAACTCTTCTTGTAAAGTGGAAGCTGTGCTGCGTTATAATGCCTGATGGTTTACAATAAAGTCACTGCGTTTCAGAATTATAAATGTTTATTATAAGCGATTTTACACAGTTCCATGCATAAACCTGTATCGAAAAGATAAATTAAATTTCAGGATTATTCAATTAACTCTCCTCCCATGGTTCGTGTGCCTACCATTACACGTCGTATGAACTGACAACAAAGCAGGATACCAATCCGGTAAAAGACGTTTGCGCGTAACGCGAAAGACGTTTCAAGGGAAGTAAAAGAAGACGTGTTGAAACGAGTTACTCTTTCTGCCAATGCAGACTTGTGCGCTGTGTTCACCTGTCGAAGTCAGTCAACGCTTGCCTACGTGCGTCGTAAATGCAAAGCAACCATTCACACAAAGCTACGCTTGCTCATTCCCTGTTGCGATAGATTACCATTACGTTACGCAAGCTTGTCCGTACGAATTATTCATTACAGCAGAAAATTGGATAGTAAGGACTTCTGAACAGGTCGCAAGTTCAATGTCAATAACTCGTACAGTAATGCGAATGCAAATTATCGCACGCTTCATAAATGTCGACCTTTCAAGGATGATAATAAAACCGTGTTCATCGCATAGACGAACGAATAAACATCGATTTAAAATGTTTAAGATGGCTCACAAAGTTTCTTAAGACTTCTATTTACGCAGCTGGCGTTGCATCTACCGTTCGAGGTGTGCAAATCGTCACACCGCAGTTATCTAACTACAACGACTCCAGCCACTCGCTAACAGATAACGCATATGGCCTTATCCAAATCGGTACTTGTTAGCGTTCGCCAAAAGTGGAGACTTAAACGATATTCACCAAAACCGATTCATTGGCACCCGAACCCCAATGTCTCGCTTTGGTCTCGGCCATCAAACGATCGTCGGAGCCGGCGCCAGGCAGCGTTAAGCAGAGACGTGATTGGGCACGCGAACGAGATAGTCAAGGCGGTCGTATATGGCAAGACGCCGTCACGAAGACCGCGTCGCCAGGGGCTGTGCACGTTGATTCGCGACGACCCGCAGTCGACTGCCGATGCTCAAGGCTTCCGTTCGGAGAACCGAGCTGTTCCCAAAACCAAGGTCTCGCCGCGGATCCCCAGAAATGCCGGATGCAATAAACTTGAGAACCCAGTACGTAAGTGGAAAAGAGCATCTTATGGCGGCTGTAAGCTATAATTGTCGTCACAAAGTAATTATTTAATTTTCAAAATGCAGGCGTAGTTCTTATTTCAAAAAGCAACTGGAATTAGTATATGTGGAGATGTCCAAATATTTCAACGTAGGGGAAATGTGCCGAAATTCCGCATTCCCTAAACCCTGAAGTGAAACACAAGTTCAGGTGTCACATTTTCGATCGTCACAGTAGTGGTCATTTTCGATCAAAATGATATTTGAGATGTAGAATGTTCGTGAATAGTTTCCTTCATACTGGAAGACTATTATTGTGCGTAACGAGGCGTGACGTAACCTGATTTGCCTTCACTTGCCATGTAGTATTGTCTACAGTTATAGAGAAAACGATCTACGCATTCTAGAAATGTAACATGATTTTTCTTAATTTAAAATTATGAAAAATTCCAAAATACGTAAAAAGATTCAAAAAATGCATTTAAGACCAACTCACCAATATTGACGATCAACTGGGAAGGAATTTTAGAAAGAGGCACAACTGCATCAGCAACAACTCACCTGTAAAACAGAAATATATCGTAAGTATAATTAACTTAACGCATGACAGGCATTATAGTGCACACAAATGCAATACTTCTCTTATTCTATTATACGCTGAACTGTTGCATGTAAAAATCACATATGAAAGTTATCAGAGAAAGGGAGATAGAAAATAATTCAACCTTCAAAAACGATTAAATAGTATATCGACGTTTACAGTGACAGCTTTCAGATCCAGACAAGTTATTCACGTATCAGAATGCAAACAATTTAATTGTACATTGAAAGAGAATAATTAATTAGATCAATTTTCAATGCTGTTTTACATTTTTCTTTCAAATTGCACGACAGAAGTTACAAAGAATTAGCATAGGTGTGGATACCAATCTAAGTAGTACTAGTTCAGGCGGTTACAGCGACAGTACCTGCGAGGGTACTGGTTTCGAATACATATCTCACAAAACAGTTCTTACCTTGTGATCAATAAGCAGAGGGAAGTTTCCACCCATCCCCAACAAATCTCTAAATTTTCAACATT